GAAGGTAAAACGCGACATTTCCAGGTAACAGAACGTTCCCAGCTTCTAATTGAGGCTTGGGGGTTCTGGGTATTCTGGCTCCAGCCAGGAGCCGGCCAGGAACCATGCAGGGTCACCTCAGTAAGCAGGAGATGCTCATAGTGCCTGGTCTCCTAAGAAATGACCGGGGTTTCGGGAATTCTGTGCCAGGAACGGGGGTGTGGAGACCAATATGTATACTTTTTATCATTTCACCAACAGTAGTGAGAATGTAACAGAATTTGAGCAGCACGGCTCATGAGGTCGTGGATTTGTTGTTCTCAGTGACCCGAGCACACACGTTCCAAATACTGACAAAAACTTGATCGTGTGCTGGACATAAAGTCTAGCAGCCTCAACGCGTTTCTGGAAATTGGGAGCACCCAGAACACATTTTCTGACCACAATATCCTCAACAACAAAAAGAAAACTAGAAAAACTCGGTACACTTGACACTTGGAAAACCCTCCTGAAATCTTGAGTCAAAGAAGAAATTATAAGGCGAACCAGAAACGTTGAGAACCAAAAATAATGAGGTAAATAGTCTTATTTCAGAATTTGTGGGGCATCTGAAACAGCAGTGTGAGGGGAAGTGACAGCATTGCCACCCAAATAAAGTGGAAGAAATGAAATACGGATAGGAACAGAAATTCATGCATTAGAACACAGACGCATGATAATATCCACAAAGACAGATGTTAGTAATTAAAAAGTAATAAAACAGACCAATTCCCCGGCAAGATTAATTTTAAAAAATAAGGGGGGCGGGCTGGGTGGCTCAGTCGGTTAAGCATCCGACTCTTGATCTCAGCTCAGGTCTCCATCTAAGGGTAGTGAGGTAAAGCCCCACGTTGGGCGTGGAGCCTGCTTAAAATAGAATAAAATAAAAAATAAAGAGGAAAGGCACAGACACTATGAGAAATGAAACACAGTAACATAACTGCCAAGATTTCTGGTGGAGTAAGAGGCTGTTTGATGAACTCTGCGCATACAAATCTGAAAACTTAAAGTAGATAAATTTAAAAAGAAAACTTAGCAGAGCTAACCAGAGAACAATAGAAAATCCCAAAATAGGGATAGTGCTATAATCATTAAAGGCATTGAGTCAGGACTTAAAAATCCTCCCCACCCCACAATCCACCCAGAGGGCTTTGCCGGCAAATTCTAACACCACTCAAGAAAACAATTCCACCTTTATACAGACTCCTTCAGAGGGTAGGAAAATGGGGAGTGTCCCTCCTGGTTTTATGAGACTAGCATAAGCTTAACACCAAAACCAGGCAGGACGTACAGTGTGAGAACAGACCTGCCAGGCCACCCCCACTTAGGAGTACAGACGCAAAAAGCAAAGAAACAGTTGCAAATCCAAAATGAAAAATATACAAATGGTATCGTACATCATGAGAAACTTTGTTCGCAAGGAGCAGGTCCTTAGAAGACCTATTCATGTACCATATTACAGACCGAAAGAGAAAAATCATGCTATCATCTTAATAGAGACAGAAACCCGTTCCAGCTGTTCATTGCAAGAGTCTTAGCAAACTTGGAGTGATGAGGAGCTTCCATGACCTGATAAAGGGCTTCTAGAAGGAAGAAAGCCTGAAAGTGGTAAATGCTAATGTTTTCATGTAAAATGTTGAAAACAGATCCTGAAGAGCGAGACAGAGACACTGACTATGCACAGTTGTTCTTTACGTTGGGACTGGTGGTCCCACCCAGCACAGTGAGACAGGAAAAAGAAAGAAAAAGTATAAGGACTGGGACAAATTAGGCCATCATCATTTGCAAGTGTTATGATCACGTACTTAGACTATCCAAAAACTTCTCGAGTAACTCTCTTATAATTAAGACATATTAGAATTCTAAGAATAAATAATTAGCGTGAATTTTAATTATTAGACTTGAGAGTTTAATAAGATTGTGGGCTGCAAGAATCAGTGTATAAAATTAAATGTTTTCTGCATACAATAAACGAATAACAATGAAATTTTAGATATATACCAGTCCCGGGATGCTGGGTGGCTTATTTGGTTAAGTGTCTGCCTTCAGCTCAGGTCATGATCCCAGGGTCCTGGGATGGAGCCCTGCATCCAGCTCCCTGCTCAGGGGGGAGTCTGCTTCTCCCTTTGCTGCTCCCCCTGCTTGGGCTTTCTCTCTCTGTCAAAGAAATAAAATCTTAAAACACACACACACACACACACACACATACACATCAGTCCCTAGAAATAGATTTTACAGTTGTATGAATGAATCCCTTAGGGAAATAAAGGATAAAATAAAGATTTTCACTGAAATCTTTCACTTAAATCTTCACTTAAATTTCCTCTGATTTCTTTTTCTTTCACTTAAATTTTCACTGAAATCTTTCACTTGAAATCACTCACTTAAAGAAGGACTTGAGTGGAGAGATGTCCTGTGATTTTGGTTTTTTGGAAGACTCGCTGTTACAGTGATAACTTACTTCAAATTGATCTGAGATTTGGTGCAATTCTGATCAAAATACCAGCCAAGTTTTTTTTAATTATTATTTTTAAAGATTTTACTTATTTACCTGACAGCACAAGCAGGGGGAGCGGCAGGCAGAGGGAGAGGGAGAAGCAGGATCCCCACTGCGCATGGACCCTCATGTGGAGCTCCATCCCAGGACCCTGAGATCATGACCTGAGCTAAAAGCAGACACTTAACCGACCAATTTTTAAAAAAAAAAAAATTTTTTTTTTTTTAACTTGGCAAGATGATTTTAAAATGATTATGGAAGAGCAAGGGCTTGGAAATAGCCACGATACTCCCAAGGAACAAGACCAAGGTATCAGGTACCAGATAGCAGTTCTTCTTGGTTCTGATATCTGTGAGGATAATCCAGAAAGCACAGCGATGGAAACAAAGGGGTCAGTGGATCAGAACGGAGAGCCCAGGAATGAATCTGTGAAGCTGTGGCTTCTGGTGGAGGCGGCAGCGTGTGCAGGTCAGTGGGGAGAGAGTGGCGCCAGTGTGACTTGCTGGGTAGGAAAGGATGAGATCGAATCTGTATTTTATGCCATATGCAAAAATCAATTGCTAATGGAGCAAATATGTGACCACGCAAGGCAAACTGTAAATCTGTTAGATTTGCTAAAGAGGAAGACGGTTGAGGTGTCGGGAAGGCTTTCCTGAATGTCAGGAAAAGCACAAATTAGAAGGGAAAATACTGATAGGTTGCACCCTGTTCAATTTAAGAACGTCTCTGCTCATCCAAAGCTACTTAAGGAGAGTGAAAAGAAAAGCCGCAAATTGGGAGGTAATTTCTTTGCTTTTGTAACCTAAGTAAAACAGTATTCACAGTGTGGTAAGAAACTCTCAAATCAAGAAGAGAAAGATAAACACCCACAGGAAGGCAGAGAAAGCCTGGGATGGGCACACGATAGGGGAGGAATCACGGAAGACCCGTAAGCAAATGACAAGAGGCACAGCCTCATTAAGGAACAACGAAATGCAAGTCAAAACAGCCAGGATGGGGCACCTGGGTGGCTCAGTCGTTAGACGTCTGCCTTTGGCTCGGGTCATGATCCCAGGGTCCCGGGATCGAGCCCCGCATCGAGCTCCCTGCTCAGCAGGAAGCCTGCTTCTCCCTCTCCCACTCTGCCTGCTTGTGTTCCCTCTCTCGCTGTGTCTCTCTGTCAAATAAATAATCTTAAAAAAACAACAACAACAACAGCCAGGTGACCTTGCACGCCCACCAGATTGGCACACGTGGAAAAGTGAGCAGGAAGCATTAGTGCGGTGAGGGGGCAGTTGCTGGAGCCGGACTTGCGTGCACGCAGCATACGTAAGCACAACCGCGCGGAGACCACCCTGGAGTCACTCGGCGGACGGGGCAGGGAGCCCCGACCCGAGGTCCTCACGGGTACGAGCGCACCCGGACAGGAGAAGAAAGAGCAGCACCACAAAGGCAGAGCCAAGCCAGTGCCTTCGGCAGACTGATCAGCTGTGGTTCCTCCCCAGCTGGAGTGGAAGGTTCTAGGGCGGTTAAAGGGAACAGGTTTCAGCTGCACATCAACGCAGGTGAACTCTCCCAAATATGGAGTGAACAAAGCCGGTCACAAAGAACGTGTACAGTGTTTCCGTTTGTATACAGTGAAGAAAGTAGGCACAGCTGATCGATAGGGTGTCTAAAGGTACCTCTACAGGGTAGGACCCGAGGAAAGATCAAGGGAAGGGCGAACACAAAAGTCACGAAGATCAGGGTGACGGGTGCCATGGAGGGGGAGGCACTTTTGCTCCCGGAAAGGCAGCTGTGGCTTTTAAACATCGGCTGTGACCGTCCTCAAAGAAAGGCAAGGCATGGTTCGCTTGTGTACGCACTTAGCCCGAGTAACACCCGCGTCTACATGTGACAGATGAAAGGTCCACACGACGGGAGCGAAAGCTGGGGTGCCTTCCGTTAGGTGCGCTCAGCTGTTCTCTGTTTTACCCTTCTAAAAAGCCAGTTGGGACCCCCTAAATTGATTTGTCACTCACTCTTTGAAAACATGGGCATTTGTCGATGATTCCTCTTCACGTTGTCCTCCTCTGTTCTGTTCGCCCTCTGTCAAAAGCAGAAACCACTCAAAGCAGGTGGGGACAGGGTGCGTCCGGGGCCTGCGCCCGAGCAGCGGATGCCTGGGCAGGGCTCGCTCTGCGGAGGAGGCCGGTGGACTCTGGGGAGGCGGGCTTGAAGAGGCCATGTGTGGCAGGCACTTGGGACAGTTCTCGGCTGTGTGCCGTCTGGTACCCTCCCAGCAGGCCCTGCGCACCCCCCAGGGTGGGAACCCCAAAGGCTGTAGGCCCCGGCGTTCAGCTCAGTCCAGCTTCGCTGGCCTGGGACAGCACCCTTAGGGTGGCGGCCTGTCCTGACATGGGGCACACCCGGGTGTGGCTCACGTGGCCCAGTGCCCTTTCCTTTCTCACCCCAGCTTTCCAGAACTTTCTGAGGACGTAGCTGAGCCTACCCTGCCTTCCTATAGGTGCCAAGCCAGCTGCCTCCGTGGACCCATGGGGCGTGCCCACTGGCACTGGCACGTACGCCGGGCCCAAGGGCTCAGACCCCTGGGTGGCCCCGCAGCAGCCTGCCCCCAGTGCCGGGAAAACAGCGGATGCTTGGGCCGCAGCCTCAGCCGCCAAGCCCGTCTCGTCCTCTGGTGAGACATCGCTCTGCCCAGGCCCTGAGAGCCCCTTTGGCTGCACTGCTGTCCCCTCTCCTGGCTCCTCGGCATGGGACCTGTGGGTTTGCCTGCACTTGCCACCCTTGTCACCTGCAGCCTTTGTCCCCAGTCGTCCCATCCCCCCCTCCGTGCCACAAGCCCACCGTGCATGGTGAGATCACAGGCCTTCTGGGCCCCTGCACCTCCGTCCAGAGGGAGCTTCCCAAGGGGGCCTGGGCAGGCTACGCTCTAGGCACTCCTTCCAGTAGCTTCCTACAGGCGCTATCCAGGTCTCTAAACCCGGCTCAGAAGTACCCCCCCACACCCTGCATTAGCCCCTCCTTCAGTTTGGGGTGGGGCTGGTGGCAGGCTAATGCCCCCACGCGAGGTTCCAGGAGGCCAGGATCCTTGACCCGGCCCCCTGCTAGACCGTTGGGTGACCCCGAGCTGCCGTCTGGCTCTCAGTTCTCCCCCAGGAGCAGGGGTGGAGATCTGTCCCTTGCCTTCGGCCAGCACCCCCCAAGGTGTAGACCGGGAAGCAGAATTGGGGAAGTCGTGATGCACCTGCAGTCACCAGCCTCTTGTGTTCACCCAGGGGCCTTTGATCTCTTCAGTAATTTGAATGGTACAATTAAAGATGACTTTTCTGAATTTGACAACCTCCGGACTTCAAAAAAAACAGGTATGTGAAGGTGGTCGTGGTTTCCATAACGTTCTGTGCATTTGACCAGTCCAGTTATGGCAGAAATAATCAGCTTTCAAAACCTCTCAACTTCATGCGTTTTCTTTGTGTTTTGATCTTGGGAGCCTGTAAGTGGCTAGTTGCAGGAATTAACACATCAGCAGTGAAAAGTCATGGGGTTGAGATTTTCTTTCACCCTCTCCTGGTATTGGGCGCATGCTTCCTGTCTCGTTCACCTCTGTGTCTTGGCCCTGCCCCCAGGCCCTTCGTGGTTGCCGGCACAAGCCCCCTGCCCTGGCCTCCCCAGCCCAGCCGCCCCATCTGAACCACTGCCTCCATATGCCTTCCTCCTCCCAACTTCCCACTCCCCACGGTGCCCCTTTTCCAGACAGTCCCAGCTCTGGGCCTGGACAGGGCGTCTCTGCCCCCACTTGATCACCCCAGCCTGTGGCTCCCTCCCAGCTCCTGTCAGAGCCCCGGCCCAGTGCCCCCAAGATGGCAGGGCTTCAGGGTGCGGTACAGAGAGACCGGGCCGGGGCGGGGGTGGGGGTGGAGGCCAGAGGCTGGGGACGGAGCCAGGCTGCCACACCCCCCAGCCACATAGAGCAGCTTCTCTCCTTTCTCTTTCCTCTCTCTGCTTCTCCCTGTGCCCGCCCCCCATCTCCATCTGCCCCTCACCCCCTCCTTCTCACCTCCTCCCACCACTTCCCCCAGTGGCAGCCACAGGCCCGGCTGGCCCCCCTGTCTAAGGTACAAGCAGCCTGGCACACCTGACCACCCCTCGGCCCCATCTCAGCTCAGGGGACCAGAGGCAACTTAGAACGCGCTGCTTCTTGGGGTCTTTCTTTCTCTGCGTTAAAGAAACAAAATTCCGTGCGTTTCCCCTGCAGGCCAAAATGCCACCTAACAGTCCCTGCCCACCCGTGTGCGCCTCAGCGAGAAGGCGGTATGGCCTTGTTAACAGTCCTTCTGTACACTTACAAATTATTTACCCCCAATTCTAGAGCTGTTTCCATTGTAGAAAATTTGGAAAAGTTTATGGAAGAAAACGGAACTCCTCTGTAATCCTCCCTACTCCAGCCGCTATGTTTCTTTCCAGCATTTTTTCTGAGCTCTGTTTACAGGGGGTTTTTTTGTTCAGCTCATACTGTCAGAAAGCATCGAATCCTGCACCCTGCCACCCCCCGCCCCCGGTAGAATAACGGATTGAAAGCATTTTCTCGTGATGTTAAAAATTCTTTAGAAAATATCCATACCTATGGAATACCTTGTATCGCTCAGCAATCATGGATTTGAACTTTGCTCTTGGGGAGCGTGCTTTCGGTGGATTGCAGGTTTTGCCGAAGTAAATAACGCTGTGGTGAACATCCTTGTGCTTGAGTCCCCGTTGCCATCTCGCATTATTTCCTGAGACTGGATTCCTAGAAATGGGATTACCGAGTGGAGAGTATGACCATTTTTAAGAACCTTTAACCCCCCTGCCACGCTGGCTGAATTTTTAAAAACAATTTTTCTTCTCTATCAAGAAATTCATGTTCATTGTAGAAAATTGACAGTGAAAACACACGAGAAACATGCACTGCCCACGGCTAGCCCGCGGCCCCAAATATCATCTTAATGTTTCTGGAGGATCGTGCCGTACGCTTTGTTTTCCAGCTTCTTCTCCGTGACGTGACACGGTCCTCTTGTCGGGAGGCCTCCTGTCCCCGCATTCTGGGTTTGGTTACGCGACCGGGGGTTCTGTAAGCTGCCCCGTGGCGGACTGTCCCTGGCTGGGTCTGTTGGAAGCACCACTGCAGCGAACATCCCCGTCTTCTGCGTGGCCACGCAGGTGTCCCCCGGAATGTCTGTGTCTCGCTCGGGTCGCCCCCCCCCCCTCACCGGGCCCCTGTGTGTCCTTGTCTTGTAGCTGAGGCCGTGGCCTCGCCACCGTCCCAAAACAACGGAACTACAAGCCCCGACCCCTTTGAGTGCCAGCCCCTGACCGCCGCCTCAAGCAAGCCCAGCAGCGCCCGGAAAACACCCGAGTCCTTCCTGGGCCCCAACGCGGCCCTGGTCAACCTGGACTCGCTGGTGACCAGGCCAGCCCCGCCGGCCCAGTCTCTCAACCCTTTCTTGGCACCAGGTATGCTCCCTGTGCTTGTCTGCCCTTGCTGACTGGCTTTGGGGCCGGCCTCAGGCCCTGACCTCTCCTCCGGCCTCTTGGGGCTCTTCCTGCCTTACACAGGAGGCATGCCCGGAATGCCTGGGCCTCTCCAGGGCCTGGGGAGAGGGGGGGCGTGAAAGCTGACGTGTGGTTAGGGGGATGGGTGGAAAACAGCTCCTCTCAGCTGTCAGTGGAGACCATTGAACAGAAGCTGCCCCGGCCCTGGTGCCCTTGGCCGGGGAGACCCTCCGGCAGGCACCACTTCTCGGTCAGCTGGGGAAGGGCAGTGGTGGGGTGAGGAAGAGCCGGGGTTTGCTGCCCAACATTTCCCTTTGGGGGGGGCCATTTTCCAGGGGCCCACAGAGCCTCACTTTAGCCATTCAAGATGCCAGATCCTGTCTTTCCAGGGCTGGGAACTCGCGCTCCCATCCCCCGTATCCATTCTCCCTGATGCCAGGCTCTGTCTAAAGGCCTGTTCTTCACCCTCAAAGGCTCTGTGTGGGCTGCAGGATAAGCCCCCCCAGCCCTTGCTTTAGAGTCCGGGGCCGCTGGGGCCGTGTGCTTAGACCCTCGGGGGCGCTGAGCTCCTCACCCCTGCACGCTGTGCTCCCCCTGCCCGGAGTGCCCTCTCTCCTCTTTTCCAGTGGGAGATCGGTCATCCTCAGCACCCAGCCCAGACAACTCTCTCCCCCTGGGGAGTGTCCCCCTCCCAGATTGTCCAGCAAGGCCTTGGGCTCCCCAAGGGCCGGGATGTGTCACATTCAGGGCGTTCAGACTGAGACCCTCCCTAAGACAACAGAATCTGCAGCCCAGGGCCATAGCCTCTCAGAGGACCCTGCAGAGAAGGACCCCAGGACGTAGAAGAGCTGAGGGTGGGGTCCTTAGGGCAGAAGTGGGACATGGAGTGCCTGGGTCCTACCCACCCCCATGGTCCTGAGATGGGCGAGGACGGGGTTGCTCCTCGCTCCCTGGGTGGAGCTGGATCCGAACCCAGTGTCTCAGCCAGGCTGGCTTTCCTGTCCAGCACCCCGCCATCCCGCCCCGGTTGGGGGGGCGGCTCCTGGTACCTCTGAGTTGGCTCAGCTCTGGCAGGGCTGATCCGCAGGGGTACGAGAGGGGCTGGTGCGGGGCTGCCCGGCTGTGCCCTCAGCAGGGCCTTCCTCCTTCCCCCTGCCCCCCGCCCCGGGTGGGATGGAGTGCGGGCAACGTCTCCTGGTGGTGACTGGGGGCGCCCCGCAGCGGGCAGCCTTTGTGTGCAAGGGCTGGGCTGCTTTGGAGGCTCTGTGCTGCCAGCTCGCGGGTGTTTTGGCAGAGCATCAGCACATGTTTTTGCTAAAAGCTCGGGAAAAAGGCTTGATGCTGTGTGATAAATTCTGGAAACGCTAGATAAGACAGAGCTGCATCTGCTTCTTGACTGCAGGGCTTCTCAGAGCCTTTATTACGCCAGCCCTTGGGTCCCGGGGTCCAGGGTGGAGACAGGCAGTCAAGCCTCGCGCTGAGGTCCCCAGCTCCCCCTTTGCGCCCCTCTTTCCCGGACACCTGTGGTCCCGAGCTTGGCAAACCGAATAGGGGAGCGGCACCCGGTGTTTCCTGCTGAGGGAGTCCTGGGGCGCCGGCTGCGAGTAGGCACAGTCCCGGCGCTGCCCGAGTCAGGCTGTGTGACTCCGGACTAGTCACTTGGCCCCGAGCGGCCTTCGTGTCCTCATCCAGAGGCCGGAGCTGCAGCCGGCGGATGCGCGGGGCGTGCGGGGCGTGCGTTGGCTGGCGCCCAGGCCCTGCAGAGCAGCCGGCCCTGGGACGCACCCTGTCCCCAAAGGGGCAGACGCCAGAGCACACGTGCTGCTGGTCGCCACCGTCTCCCGCCCTTGGACTTGGGGACGGCTGTTGTTCTGACCCCACCACTGCCCCTCCTCTCCCCCAGGTGCAGCCGCCGCCTCGGCCCCTGTCAACCCCTTCCAGGTGAACCAGCCCCAGCCGCTGACGCTGAACCAGCTGCGGGGGAGCCCCGTCCTGGGGACCAGCACATCCTTTGGGCCTAGCCCAGGTGTGGAGCCCATGGCTGTGGCCTCCATGACCTCCACGGCCCCACACCCGACCCTGGGGGCCAGCAGTTCCTCCCTGACGCCGCTGGGCCCCGCCTCGATGAACATGGTGGGCAGCGTGGGCATCCCCCCCTCGGCAGCTCAGGCGGCTGGCACAACCAACCCTTTCCTTCTCTAGTGCCCGGGCCTGGGACCCACCACAGAGCGAATGCCCAGAGCCTCTGTGCCTGAGGACGCCGAGCAGGGACTCTCGATTGTGGACTGGTGTCCAAGAGTGGGGGTGGGGGGTGGGGGGATGTTAGGGCTTCCCGGTCCCGGCTTCCTGATAAAAGGGTTGTCTTCCCAGCCCCGACCCTCAGACTCCAGCGGCGGCAGGCCTGCTAGACGTCAGACACAGCACGTGGGTCTCCGCGCCTTCCGAGGCTGCCCGCCCGCCTGTCCCCAGCCCACCGCCCGCTGCCCGCGGGAGGGGCCCGACCCGGCCTGGTGGCCTCCCCGCTTCCTCCCGAGCGCAGAGGTCCTGGTCCTGCAGATTGGCCAGCTCTCTGGCGCCTGGGATGAGGCGGGAGTCCTCAGTGTCGCCGTCGCCCTCGCCCTGAGCCTCAGCCTGAGGGCCTCTGGGACGCCGCCTGGCCCCCCCCGCCGACCCCCAGCCCTAGCGACACCCCAGGCGGTCCCAGGTGTGGACAGAATGAAGCACCGACTTCACGAGACGCTGATCTTTTCGGGGAAGTGGTTGTGCATATTTTATTTTTCTTTGACTCGTGTGTGAGTTCAAAGTAACCACCACCACCGTGGAACAACTCTTGAATTAAATCCACTAGAGCAAGCTTTAAACTAATCTGAGCATAACCCTGCCACGTGGCTCTATGCTTATGTACGTTTGCACATGATTTGTTTAGTACAGTTTCATATTTGAGTTTGCAGAATTATCTAATAGTCTTTTTTTGGCTAATATTTTTATAACGTGGTTCTTATTTAACTGTCTAGTTTTGATAGAATTTACCAGGTCTGGCTGAATTAAGATATTGGCACGTGTCATGTGAGTGGTTTAAACCCTCTTATTTATGGTTTAACTCTAAGGAAATTTAAATAGGAAGAGACAAAAAAAATGCCTTATAAAAAAAAACTAAAGCAAATTCTTTATAGGGAAAAATACGGGAATTTGATTACATAGAAAAGATGATGTTTATTTAAAAAAAAAAAAACCTACAACAGCAACAACAACAAAAACCCAGCCTCCAGTTGCCTCTTCCTTTCTTTTACTCCCTGTTTTGGTGACTTACCAAACGGATTGACCTGCAGCCTTTTGGGTTAGATCCAGAGAGAGGCTATTTTTCTTACTGCTGTACCAACAGCAAGTTAAAGAAAAAAAAAATCTAATGGATGAATGTGACTCACCGGTTTTTATCAGCCAATTCCCTTTTGTAACTGAAGGCATGCACCGATCAACAAGGACTTCCGCTTCCGGTGGAAATCTGAAACGGAAGAGGCATCTTGAAATTTGTGTGTCTGTGATCTCCTCTGTCTTAATCCGCACTCAGGGTAAGGATGGGGATGGCGTGGAGACGGCATCTGGGGGCTCCCCAGGGACGGCCTCCAGGCCAAGACGGGTGAGCGGCCAGGGCTGGCCCTGACCCACCCACCTGCTGACTCCAGACACACACTGCAGACTTCAAAATGATCATCTCTTGTTTTGGAGAGGCAGGAAAAATAGTCATTCTCACATGGATTTTTAACAAACAGGCCCTAATATTACCTCCCTCTCCCAACTTCCTCCTCTCCTCTTGCCCCACCCACCACTAGAAGAAAAGTATGAATTCACATAAGGGAAAGACCAGAAAAGAGGCAAATCTCCCCAGGGAAGGGAACCCCACCCCCCACCCCCCACCCCCCTATCCTGCGTCCGGTCAGTTCACCTTGCCTGGTGGGCGCTCCGGTCTTGCTTTCCACTGTGGACTTCTTCCCCCTCTCTGGCCCCCCCTCAACTCCAAGGGCAGCCGACCCCCTGGTGTTCCTCCACCCCATCCCCTCGCCCCGCTCCCGGGGGAAACTATCGTGAGCAGGGCACAGGCCTGGAGGGGAGCAGGCAGAGTCCGAACAGCCTTCTCCCGCCTCTCCCGTTGCCTAATTTTAAAAGCTCACCCGTGCTGCTCCCCAAGGCTGTCCCCCTGGAGGAGCCACCGCCGGAGCTCCTGACCGGCCATGCCTCCGCCAGAGCCGGAGACCTGGGGCTGGACTGTGGACTCCCGCCCGCTCTGGCCTCCTCCGACCTGGGCGAGGGTGAGACAGGCTGGGGCCCCGGCAGGTCGCTCCCCCGGGGAGGTGCTTTCACTCACATGGTGCGGGCCTGGACCCCTGCACAGGCCAGTAGACCAAACCTGACTACTGGGTCAGTGATTCTTTTATAACAGTCACGAGCTCTTCCTGACTTGACTTTGAGGCCCCAACATTCTAGCCACTGGGCCGCCGAGGCCCCAGAAGACCCCCCGCACCCCCTTCCCGCTCCCCACCCCGCCGCCCCAGCCCAGGCCCGTCCCAGGCGCCTTGTCTCTGTCGCCTGCTGCACTGATCATGAAGCCACCGGCCACTGCCACCCCTGTAATGCTCCCTCCCGATGGGCACTGTGGTAGGGGGGTCGCCCAGCCGTTTCCTCAGTCCCAGGGGCCGGTGGCTGGTTTTGAACTTGTGTTGACTATTGATACTTATTTACTGTACAAATATAATTTATCATTTGTATCATGATGCGGTTTCTGGCTGTGTCCTTCCCTCACCCCCATCTGTATCCATCTCCCAGCGGAGATGGGCGGGCAGGAGCCGGTCCTCATGCCTGCCTGCGTGAGCCTCGGGGTGTCCGGGGAGGAGACTGGCCGGGAGGCAGCCCTCGGGGCACCGCGACAGGGGGTCGGCAAGGGCGTCGGTGGCTGGGTGCGCCTCCCCACCCAGGGACTTGGGATCCTGTGAGCAGAAGCGGCCCAGCGGCTGAAGGACAGAAACTCCTTTCCGGGCAGGGACGGAAGAGGTGTTCGGATGGCAGGAGGATGTATGGCAAAGGCCAGGACGGGGTGGAGAGGGTGGCCCGGGCGGGCGTGTGGCTTCCCTCTTGCCAGGACCCCAGCTCTAGCCTCTGCTCTGGGGCCGCCCTGGCCGCCTGGTAGCCACTCAGGGAGCAGGACTCAACAGGGGGCCTGGAGAGGGTTTGCCAGAGTCCGGAGCAGCGGGGACTGCCACTCCCCGGACCAGAGAGGGGTGCGTTTGTCAGGGTGACGAACTACTTGTCGGTCTTCTCACACAGTCCAGTACCTCCTTGGGCAGCTCTGCTTCCGTGGGCAGGTTGCCGTGGAAGGGAATGAGCGAGCGGAGGGAGATTGTGTGTGAGGTCTCGGAGGGCTGGGGGCCGGCGGGCGGGGGGCGGGGGGGCGGGAGTGGTTAGGGTCACACGAGGCTGGTCTCTGTCACAGCTGGCCTTCCGGTCACCAAATACAGATTTCGTTCTTCTACACGTAGAGCATATCCCTTCCCCCAAGGGAGGCATCCTGGGGTCCCTTACAGAATCACAGGAGATCCCGTGTGGGGTGGTTTTAGGCGACCGTGTTTGGGGGCAGTTTGTTACACAGCCGTAGATAACAGGGACATGCACACAGTTCTCCCTTGCCATCTTAGCCCCATGCTTCCTGGTAGCCACTGTTGGGGCCATTTGGGGTAACGTAAGAGTGTGACCCCATAAATCTGATACTTAACCAGGCGGTTGAGTTCCTTGTCCCCGTGAGACGTTTTTACTAGGACTTGAGTGCTCGAAGCATTCTTCCTTCTTAGCTCTTCCCATTTGACTTCTGGACACAGTTTCCTTTTCCAGCCTTTTTTTTTTTTTTAAAGATTTTTATTTATTTATTTGACAGAGAGAGACACAGTGAGAGAGGGAACACAAGCGGGGGGAGTGGGAGAGGGAGAAGCAGGAGAGAGAGAAGCAGGCCTCCCACAGAGCAGGGAGCCCGACGCGGGGCTCGATCCCAGGACCCTGGGATCATGACCTGAGCCGAAGGCAGACGCTTAACGACTGAGCCACCCAGGCGCCCCTCCTTTTCCAGCCTTTCGATGCCCCCAACGTTTTGGGTTCTCTGTCATTTCCGTTTGCAAACAGGCCTTTTCTTTCCTGAGCTCACGGCTTTCCCGTGCCAGCTTTCCACGTGCAGTAGCCGACCCGCCCCACGCATCCTCGCAGCACCCCCGGCCTGCCCCCGGAGTTGGCCCACCAGGCACAGAACCCGCCTCCCGCGTTAGCACAAGCGCCTTACCTAGTTGTGGGCTCACGTCATGGAGCCCTCCTGCCGTCCAGCCTTTCTTCTGTGTTTTTCCTGCTTGTCACCCAACTGCCAAGCCAATACCACACAGACTTGGTTCTGGTTCGGGTGACAGTGGAAACCCGCTCGTGATTTCCAATTTCCGCATCAGACTAGAATGCTCTGCAAAAACCAGCCCCGGAACAATATAGGAGTTGCTCAGAAACTGCCCAGTGGGGATGTTCCTTGGCTCCTCCCTTGCCATGTTCTGTCCTCAAAATGTGGCCTCCAGGGTACCACGGGGAAGCATGGAAGGATCGACCAGGGGAGCTTTTAAGTGGGTCAGACCTTTACGTGCTGAACAGCCTTTCAGCCCACCTTTCTTTGGCCAGAGCTACTCGCAGGGACCCACCTGTTCACAAGAGGCCTGGGGAATGGAGCCTTCCGGGGAGCCCGTGGCGCCGTCCCCCTTGACTGTTCTTCATGTGGATGGTCCCAGGTCCCCACCCTGCTGCCCGCTTCCCAGGCAGGGTGCCCTCAGCCTCCCAAGTTTCTAGCCTTCTCCTGCCTTGACTGGGAGAGGCGCTGGGCAGCTTCCTGAGGCGACGGTCGCATTCTAGACCCTGACCGGGCATCGGGCACGCGCTGGTCAAAGCTCAGTGCGTACGTAGCACGCTTGACACTTAACGCATTTCAGTCCGCACCCACGTTCCCTCGAGAGACACGAACGACACCTACAAACGAATCCGGAACTCCGGGCCCGGAGAGGCACATGCTGAAACGTACCGCTCTCTGCGATTTATTTGGAAATGCACCCAAGCCAGGCCGGCTGGAAGGAGGGATGAGAACTCCCAAGTGTGGGAAGCTGGCAGGGGTGACATCGGGGCGGCTGGTGGCCGGCTGTTCACGGTGACCTTATTTCCACTTCGTAAGAAAGTGTTGATAAAACTGCACGATGGAACGGACGAGAAGGGGGCTGACCACTGTCAGAGGTGCGGGCAGACCGGGCCTGATGTGGTGGTGGAACAGAGGAAGCTCCTGGATCTCTCTCTCTTTTTTTTTTAAGATTTTATTTTTTTTAAGTAATCTCTATCCCCGCCCCCCAGCGTGGGGCTCGAACTCACAACCCTGAGGTGAAGAATCGCCCACTCCGCCGACTGAGCCAGCCAGGCGCCCGTCTTGGATCATCGCCATTTCCCCGTGAGCCCTTCAGCTGAGGGGGAGCGCTACTGGAGGTGCCAGGAGGGAAGACAGGTGAGGGGACAGGGACCGCCAGGAGGGGACGGGGATGCCTGGGTGCGTATCTTGGAGGCAGTGCAGTCACTGGTAACGAGAAATAGGCGGTGGGATGGGTGACTGCTGAGGGGCAAGGCCAAGGTCATTGAAGGGGAGGAGGCGAGGAGGAGGCGTGGACGCTGGTGGTGTCCGGAATGGCCCTAGGGCAAGGCGGTCAGGTCCTCGGTGGACGTCGGTCATTGGTCTGCCGGCCCAGGACGGGGCCGTGGAAATGCTGGAAATGGGAGTGGGGTCCGGACGCAAACCTCGGCTCTGGGCCCACGGTCTGCGGGGGGGCCAGTGTGGGCTTCAGCACAGGACCGAGGTGGAGGGAACTTTCCATTCGGAGAAGAGGGTCAGGATCACAGGAATGTTGCTGACGCCAGGCCATGAGTCGCAGAGCACACGGGGGGCCGGGGGGGCCCTGAGCAGCACAGACTTCCAGGGCGCAGACAGCTAAGTAAGAGGAGGGGCAGAGCGGGGTCAGCGCAGGGGTGTCGTGGGGCAGGTTCCACGGACAGCCGGGGTGGGGCGGGGCGGGTGGCGAGGCCGGGCGCCCGGGGCTTTGTGGCTCCCCTTGAATCGGGCTGAGGGCGGTGCTGGGTGGAGAGCAGCCCGGGCGGGCTGCGTGTCCCATCCCCAGGCGGGGGGCAGGCCGCGGGGGGGACTACCCCAGCCGTGCCGTGGGGACCTGTGGGTTGAGGGTGCTGGGCTGCCGTGAGACCGGAGAGCTGGGGGCCTCTCCCTGCAGCTCCCGCCGATCCCATTCGCTCCTCCTCGCACTGAGCCCCGAAAGCCTCTTGGTGTCCCTCCTGGGTTACGGAGGAGTGTCTGGAGGCAAAGGAAAGGCCACACAGCCGTGAGTGGGGCTGAACCGGACCTCACGTGCCAGGTGGCTGTCGTGGGGTGCCGCTCTGGGCAGCTTCCGTCCCCTAAGCAGTGTGGGGGGGCGGCAGGCGGCCCCAGTGACCTGCTCCCAGGGAGCCGGGGGCAGTGCCTAGGGGAGAGGAAGCAGCTCCAGGCCTGGGTTCAGTGAAAAGGCGATGCTTTATTATATAAAAATCTCCCCCCCACCCCTCCCAGCGCCCCGAGGCTGCATGTCAAGCAGATGGATCCGTGGCCAACTCTCTGGAAGGACAGCCCTGCATTCTCTGAGGGCCGCCTGGCCTCGCGGCGGCGTGGCCAGAGTCCGTGGCCGTGGCACGGGCCGGGCGGGGGCCTTCACGGGGGGAGGCCCTGCTGCGGGCTGGGCCCTGAGGCGCCCTGCGTGTCGGGAGGCCCAGTGTCGTAGCCCAGCTTCCTCATGTCCTTGGTCACCACGTTGAAGAGGAGAGTGACAAAGCCCTGCGAGCAGACCCGGGTCACTGGGAAGAGAAGGGCAGCGTCAGCCAGGCTGCTCTGGGAACGTCTCCGCCCCAGCAGTCTCTCCTGTAAAGTGGGAACGACTGGGAGGTACGGGGGCGGCACCAACCAGGCCCGGGGGGGAGCGGCGCTCGGGGGGAGAGGCCTGGGGCTGCCCCCGCGGTCCATCTGTGTGCCTGGCAGGTGCCTGGCTTCCACCGTGTTTGCTGGGGGGTCCGCCTAGTCCCTCCCGGGCTCCGGCCTGCCTGTGGGGGGTGGGGTTGCGGGGGTCAAGCTTTACCTTCCCGGCCTTCACCCTGAGCCACCACCTTGGGGTCTGTGTACTCGGGCCGCCGTCCCATGAACCAGCTGGGAAGACAGGAGAACCCTGGGTGAGAGGATCCTCGGCCTGGCTCTGCCTCAGAGCCGAGACGTGGGCGCTCTCCTGCCCTCAGAAACCGGCAGCCCTCCTCCAACCCCTGCCCCGGGGACCAGGCCCCGGGCAGAACCTCCCCACCGCCCCTCCCTCTGCCGGGGAGAGGGGCGGCTGGGTACCACGGGTGGCATCCACGGAGGCCTGGCAGGCTGCCCCCAGGCCCGGGGTGCTCTGCACGCCGAGCTTTCCCACCACGGTCACCCGTGGCTTTGAGGGAGATGTGGGGCTGGGGGCACAGTGGGAGCCCCAGTGGAAATCCCAGAAAGGGGACAGCAGCTGGGGGCGGGCAGTGCAACCCCCTCCATCCTTCCGGCATTCGGCATTGGCCTCCTTGGGGTGTGCAGAGGGGCCAGATCTGGGCTCTCCGCTTTCCTCTCAATAGTGTGGGATCCAAGACAAATCACTTCCTGTCTCTGAACCCCTGAATCCCAGTTCCTCTCAGCTGTACCTAGTGGTAGCCAGCTCACAGGCCTCGGGGTGAGGGCACTCTGTCAACTACCAGGTGAAACATTCGTCCGATTATGGTTCTCGCTCCGGGGTGCCCAACACGATCCTCTCACCCCACCATCGCAGGGGTGCACCTGCCCCTCCCAGCAGCCCCGCTCTGTACCCCCCCCCCACCGAGGCTGAGAGCAGTGCGGTGGCGTGCCCCAGGCCCCAGCAGGGCGGTGCAGGGCGGTGCGGGCTGTGTGCAGGGGTGCTGTCCCAGGCCTCCGCTCCAGGCCCCGCGGCCTGAGCCAGGGCAGCTCCTTCCCCAGCAGCAGCCACGCCTCCCACACGCCCACCGGGGCCCCAGCAATCTGGGTGCACGTTCCCTGCCGGGTGGGCAGACGCGGGCGTCGAGCCATCCAGGAGCGCCTCCAGCCTGAGCTTGGGGGGTCCTGCCGGGGGAGGCCGGTGATGCAGCTGTGGGCAGCAGGCGCCCCACGGGAAGGAGGCCCCTCGGTCTGTCTGCCGAGGTTCCCGCATCCCCAGAGCAGGCTCCGCCCTGCCTTCCGCCAAAGTGGCTGGCCTGGGAGGGCTGGCAGGCCTGCGCTCCGCTCCAGCACCCCAGCGCCCCGGCGCCGCCACCCTCCCCCCACCAGCAGGCCCTCCAGCTCCACGCTGGAGTCCCCTGTTGGCTCAGGCCACCTTGACTCGGCCAGCCCCCCGCCCCCGGGTGCACTCTCTGGCGAGGGCATGGGTACCACTGGGTGCCGCCCGGGGGTGGGGTTCCGTCCCGGCTTTCGCCGGACAAAGCGGTGACTGCCCCCTGCTGTCTGTAGGCCGTGGGGACAGCTAGTAAGGAGGCTCACGGGCTCCCAGCCTCGGGAGAGGGGATAGGGAGGAGAATTGGGAAGCTAGGGTTCCAGCCAGGGCTGGATGGCAGGCCACTGCCTCTCTGTGCCTCAGTTTCTCCATCCGAGGAGGGGGGCTCTCCACCTCGCAGGCAGGGGAAGCAGCCACAGAGCCTGGCACACCCCCACCTACGCGTACTCGCGCACTGCACTGCTCTCTCCTAAGGTCCACAAGGACGGGCCGTTCGGGGGAGGGGAGAGCGTCCAGGCAAGGGCTGAGGCCAGGGAGGACCCAGCGGGCTGGGGGAAGCGAGTCCGGGGGCACGCAGGCAGGGGGGAGGGCCCGAAGTCAGGGGGCAGGAGAACACAGGGTCTCGCAGCACCCTAGCTGAAGCTAATGCTTGATGGGTTTCTAAGGTTGCGTGTTTAGGAAAAGCATTTTTGTCGCGCTGTGAAGTCTAGGTGGGGGGCGCTGTCAGGAGCTGAATAACGGCCCCAGATACCAGGTCCTAGTCCCTGGACCTCGCAAATGTGACCGTATTTGGGAAAAGGATCTTTGCACATGTGACTAAAATAAGGATCTTAAACACGGGGGGGGGGGGGTTTGTCCTGGATTATCTGGGTGGGCCCTAAATGCCCCAAGTGTCCTTCTAAGAGAGGTGGAGGGAGAGGTGACACACACAGGGGAGGGGCGACACGTGAGGTCCACACACGTGACCACAGAGGCAGAGACTGGAGTGATGGGCCGTAAGCCAAGGAAGGCTGCAGGCACCAGAAGCTGGAAGAGGCCAGGAGCAGATTCTCCCCAAGAGCCTGGGCGGGGGGCAGGGGGGGCAGCCCTGCCAGCGCCTCGATCTCAGCCCACTGACGCTGACTTTGGCCTGGGAGATAATAAATTTCTGTCGTTGACGCCGTTGAGTTTGTGGTCACTGGTTACAGCAGCCCCGGGAACTAACAGGGCTGAGTGGAGGAGGGCAGGCCGGGTGGGCCGGGCGAGGGCTGGCCTCCACCGACGGGCTCTGGGAAGACTGGGATCCAGCGGCCTTCGCTCATCAGACCTTTCCCAGTGTCCCGACGACAAGCACACGCCTCGTCCGGGGGAGACCGCACCGGCCCCGAGCTGCTAGCCTCAGGCACCGGCAGAAACACCCAGAAACTTCTCCAGCACTGAGACCCTTTCCTCAGAGGGCTGTGGCCCTGAGACGCGAGCTTCCCTGGGAGCTGCGGGGTTTGAAGCGGTGTGGACGCCCCGGCCAGGACATCGGCGTGGGCTCAAAGCCCTTAACCTCCCTCTACCCGCTGACGGGCCGGCCCCCATTTTCCCAACAGTCCACGGCTGGGTGTGGTCCCCTCTAGCTGATGCTGGCCCAGGGCACCTTCCCATCGCGGTGGCCTCCCAGGGGGCCTTCGAGGGGCGGCGGGCTGCCAGATTCTCCCCTCCAGGCCTCAGAACTCAGTGAGGCTTCCTCGGCGCAGGCCCAACGCTGGCCCTCCGCCCCGCAGGGCTCCGGCCAAGGCTCGCCCCAAAACTGGCCAGGCCTGCAGGGGACTGCTCGCCAGCTGCCCCCTGGGCACCCAGGTGGTCCTCCATCCCCCCTGCCCCCATCCCCACTGTGAACAGAGGGCCCATTCCCGGCTGACCCGGAGGGGAGCAGCGGCGGCTTGCAGCCGAGCTAAGCTGCTAGGAGCTTCTATCCCCAGCCTCGGGGCAGGCAGCCAGCCCTCTGAACTTAGATGCGGACGTGGTAAGGGGCAAGAGGTTCCCTGCCTGGTGTCTCCCCCACATTCCCCTTGCTCCCCACCCACCAGCAACAGCCTGTCCTTGTTGGCTCCGCACACAGTAAGCCCATGGACCATGCACTGTTTCTTACGCCTGGAATGTTCCCTCCCCAGATCGCCCACACTGGCCCTTACCTCCACTCTCGTTTCTGCTCAGACATCACCTCCTCCAAGAGGCCCCCACATGTGAGGCATTTCCAAACTGATAGAAATTGCCCGTCAGGATGATGATACTGTTCTGTTCGGCTCTTAACTGCTGTATCCGCCTGTGTCCTACCTTTTTCATGCCCCGTTATGTCATGAGCCTTTCCCCATCTGACGAGAGCTTTTGCTCTGCTCTGATACAAAGACCACAGGGCGTGAAGGTGCGCGGCCTCGTGCAGCTGGAGCAGCGGCTGAAGGGAGCCCAGCGACCCTCCGACATCCCACAGCCCCCGCGTCCATGGGCCCCAAAGACAGAGCAGTTGGGAGACCCGATGAGGGAGGGACAGGGACACCCCTCCCTCCCTCCACTCTGACCACGTAGGTCAGAAGCCGGCGCTGGTGGGGACATGTAGAAAACTCACCTCGTAAACTTCTGCAGTTTAGACGTGGATTCGGGGACAAACATGGGGACGGTCCTTTTGTGCCTGAAACAAATGTTTTCCCGGACCGATGTGCTGACTGACAGAAAGGTGGGACTTTCCGAGCCCCCGGAGAGCAGGAGCACTCGGTCGGGCAACGCCAAGGCCAAGCCAAGGCCAGGCGGGCCGGCTGCCCGCCCCCACTGTGTGGTGCTGGGAGTGAGGTGCAGAAAACGGCCCACAGTCCCTGCGAGTCCTGTTTCTTGTCAAGGCTCAAGAGGATGCTGGGGTACAGCCATGACAGCTGGGGTCCCGGCTCCCGCTGGGCCCCTCCGAAGCCCTGCCCCCCAATGTCCGAATCCTCCACCATCTCCAAGGCCCAGTTTGGGTGCCCTTCCTCCAGGAAGGCCCGGACGATCCCCGGAACCTCATCCCCGCTGCAGCCCCCGGCCCCTAGTCCTGCCCTCCGAGCCCGGGGTCCTGCCCCTCCCCACCCAGGCCCCCCGCCCCCCAATCTTGCACTCTCTGTCTCAGCAACAATGCGCAGGGCATTTGGCTGTCCTTCCATCTTCTTCCACCTTCTCCAGGCAAACCCCTGTCCTCTGCACCCCAGAATACCCTGTCTATACCTGTCACTGTGCTTAACAAAAGACAACTGCGTCTCTCCATCTGTGTCTACTCCTCTGGGGGCTCCTGAGGAAGGCCCCACGTGGTCACATATGACACCAGCGGGAGCAGGGCACATGGGGGCATCAGTGAGCGCTCGGGGGGGGGGGGGGCAGAAACAGGAGGGGACTGAGCTTCTGAATTGTAACTCCAAACTGCCTATGAACTGTCTGTCGCTGGACCCAGCCCCTCATGGGGCCTCCAACACTCCCTGCACCCACCTGCTGTTTGGGTGGTAGCCTTGGCCTCACCCATGTGGGCCTCTTCCCAGATATGGGCTCTAGCCCCCCTCGCCCCCCGCCCCCAAGCCCAGCTGCCCAGGCCCGTGGGGACCCCAGGCGCACTGCTAGCCTAGGGGTGAAGTCCCAGGAAAAGCCCTGCGGGGGGTGCCCTGGTCCTAAGCCAGCATGGCCCTGCATGGGATGGACTGTGGCCCGGGGAGCCGGTCACAGCCAGAACCCACCTGCCGGGTGAGAAAGGTACGTGCACCGCCCCGTAGCCTCGGACCACGTCGTTCCCGAACACGTCTGGTCCGTACACACTGAGCACGATCTGTGGCCCTTGGGAAGAACAAGACAAGGGGTCAGCTGGCGGGATAACGCAGGGGAAGGTGCAGGGCAAAGAAGCGGACATGGGACCCCCCCCTTCTCCACTATGGGCTCCTGCCGACACAGAATCTGGGGAGGCGGGCAGGGACAGTGGTGGGGAGCATGATGTGCCACCTGCCGGCGAGGCCCCCTGCTCAGCCCGGATGCCTGGGGAGTCACAGGGCCGGGATGCCCCGCAGATCCTGTACCTTGACGATACAGGAAGGGCCCCTGAAGGCACTTCTCTCCTCTGCTCGAGGCACAGGGACCCAGGGGGAGTAAGTAAAGGGGCCGCTTCTCGGGAGCTTCCTTTCTGATACAGGTGGTCGGATTCAAGCGCATACTGCATGGGCTCACGGGCCACAGGGGCTTGCTTTGGGGCGCTGCGGGGGAGGTCAGAGGGAAAGCCCTTCCATGCACTTTCCTTTAAATGATCACCGATCCCACCTGTTCCCTGCAAACACGGAGGTACATCGTCCCCTGAAGGCGGGGAGGGGTGGGGGGGAGACGACAGGCTGACCTGCGGCCTGTAGGATGGGCCTCCGGCCATCAATCGCCTCACCTCCCAGCCTCTCGGGTCCCTCACCTCTAAGACATGGAGAGTAGCACCCCATGCAGGGCAAGTGCTCGGTGAGTGTTAGGTATGGTTTGGGCCCTTCCCATCACTCCCCCTCCCCCAGAGGTAGGCCCTATTCTGACTTGATGAAAGCATATCTTCTAAGGCTTCCCCACCAAAGAATGCATCCCAAACATGGTACTTTGGTTTTACCCATTTTTTTTAATTTAAATTTTTATTTTTTTTAAAAGATTTATTTGACAGAGAGAGACACAGCGAGAGAGGGAACACAAGCAGGGGGAGTGGGAGAGGGAGAAGCAGGCTTCCTGCCAAGCAGAGAGCCTGATGCGGGGCTCGATCCCAGGACCCTGGGATCATGACCTGAGCTGAAGGCAGACGCTTATCGACTGAGCCACCCAGGCGCCCCTACCCATTTTTTTTTTTTAAAGATTTACTTAATTTTGAGAGAGAGCAAGAGAGAGTGAGCGAGCGAGCAGGGGGAGGGGCAGAGGGAGGAGGAGAGAATCCCAAGCGGACTCCATGCTGAGCCGAAACTAAGAGTCAGACACTTAACCGACTGAGCCACCCCGATGCCCTGGTTTTACCCATTCTTTTTTTAAATTTATACAAATGGAATCATGTAGTCTGTGTATTGGTATTCAGCTGCTTTAATTCAACGTCACGTTTGTGAGATTTGTTCGAATTGTGTCATTAGGGGATCGTCGCTCGTTCTCAATGCTAGAGAACATTTTTTTTTTTTTTTTTTTGTCAGAGAGAGAGCGAGAGGGCACAAGCAGGGGGAGCGGCAGGCAGAGGTAGAAGCAGACTCCCCGCTGAGCAGGGAGCCCGATGCGGGGCTCGTTCCCAGGACCCTGGGATCATGACCCGAGCCGAAGGCAGACGCTTAACCTACTGAGCCACCCAGGCATCCCCCCCTCTTTTTTTTTTTTTTTAATTTATTAATGCTAGAGAACATTCTAGCTCTGAACCAACCATAAGGACGTGGTTCACTCCAGTGCCAATGGACATGTGCGTAGTCTCTCCTTGGGGGGCCGCCGGGTGGTGAGGCTATGAGCTCTCCGCCACTCTCGTTCAAGCTCTTGCCCACACGTGCACACGTCCCAGGAGGAGCCGCACAGGGTATGCGGACGCTCGGTCTGCAAAGGTAACGCGGAGCGGTCTTCCAAAGGGGTCGGATCACCCCACTCCCGCCAGTCACTGGAGTTCCCCTCACGCCACATCCTCACAATGCTGGGGGGTCCTCAGTCTCTCTGACTGGAGCTATTCTGGTGGCAGCTTCCCGTAGCCTGCCTTCGCGTCTGCCTTCACTGCAATCTTTCTCACTAAAATAAAGACCTTGCTCTGTTTCTCCATCACTCGGACGTCCTCCTTCGTGAAGTACCTGCTCAGTCTCTCACCCGGATTTCTACGCGATGGGTCTTTTCCTCGCTGACATGCAGCGTGTATGTGTGTGAATTCCGTGGCCTGTCTTTTGAGCTGTGTTATATTTTGATATGATTGTAAAGAATTTCTTTTTAAAATATCATTTTTGAGGGGCGCCTGGGTGGCTCAGTTGTTAAGCATCTGCCTTTGGCTCAGGTCAATGATCCCAGGGTCCTGGGATTGAGCCCCGCATTGGGCTCCCTGCTCAGCGGGAAGCCTGCTTCTCCCTCTCCCATTCCCCCTGCTTGTAGTCCCTCTCTCGCTGTGTCTCTCTCGGTCAAATAAATAAATAAAATCTTTAAAAAATATATATATCATTTTTGAATCACTTTTTGTGCACAAGAGAATACATATTCTATTTATTTTTATACAAAAAGCCACTGGGTTTTGTCTATCTCCTATCTGGCATTCATGCCAATTTATTATTTCTAGTAACTTATCTGTAGGTTATTTTGCAAATTCTACATACATAATGTCACCTGTGAAACAATAGTTTTGGGGCGCCTGGGTGGCTCAGGTGGTTAAGCGTCTGCCTTCAGCTCAGGTCATGATCCCAGGGTCCTAGGACTCATCCCCACCTGGGCTGCCTACTCCCTGCTCGACATTGAGCCTGCTTCTCCCTCTCCCCCACTCGTGCTCTCTCTCTCTCGAATAAATAAAATCTTATTTTTTTTTTAAAGAAAAAGGACATATTCTTCCTAATTCTTATGCCTTTTGTTTGTGGTGGTGGCAACAAGGAAATCTTTCACCATTTCACTTAGACAAGGTGATGTCTGCTCTAAGTTTTCTGTAGATAGCCCTTATCAAATTAAGAAAGTTTCCTTCTAGGAGCGCCTGGGTGGCTCAGTCGGTTGGGGGTCCAACTCTTGATCTCAGCCTAGGTGTTGATCTCAGCTCAGGGGTCGTGAGTTCTGGCCCCGCGTCAGGCTCCACACAGGGCATGGGGCCTACTTAAAAAAAAAAAAAAAGGAAAGTTTCTTTCTATTCCTAGTTTGCTAAGTGTTTTATCATGAATGGATGTTGAATTTTATCATGGTTTCTACATTTATGGGGATGATCGTGACTTTCCTTCTTTTTAAAGCAATGAATCACTTTGGTTGATTTCAGATATTATATAAGCTTTGTATTTCTGGAATAAACCATACTTGTTCATGATGTATTATCCCTTTTACATCCTGCTAGATTTGGCTTATGAATATTTTGTTTGGGAGTTTTTGCAACCGTGTGCAAGGTCTGGAACGATCCAGAGCTGGGCCGCTCCCAGTTCCCCCTTCCTCCCAGGGTGCAGCAAGCACTTTGAGGTCTCCGTCCAGGTTGCAGGGATTTTCCTGATTCTTGCACCCCGAGCCCAGGGCAGCTGTCAAACCCTCGATCAGCCGCTCGATCACGTCTGGTGGAGTGAGCAAATACTCTCAGGGGCGGTGTGAGTGGGATCACATCTCTAGAGGTCTGTTTTCTTCTGGATCTTGGCCTGGCAAATCTCCAATACTTTGCTAGCTCTCTGATGCCTTCGAATAGTTGTGTTTTGTTTTCGCTTTTTAATACTGTATTTGCCTCTGCTAGCCTTCCTCAGCAGCAGGAAACTGGTCCATAATCTAGTGCCCTGGTCCAGGAAGCCTATGGAAGCATTCTTACTCATGGATAATGACAGGGAGGACTGCCAGGCAGCCCCTGCTCCAGACCCCCCGCACCCAGCAAGCCAAGGCCCCAAGCCACATGCAGCAGAAAGGCCCAGACTATGAAATCAGATGGACCTGAAATCCAATCCATGCTCAGCTGCTAGATATAAAGCTGAAGGCAAATGATGTTACTTTTTGGCATCAGTTTCCTAATGTGAGAAGAGAAACGCAGAGCAATCTCTCCACCATATAGGATTAGGAAGCTAGGCCAAGCCCACCCGGGGCGAGTATTCACGGAGCCACCCAAGGCCACAGGCTGGGGCTCCACCTGATACACTCTGAGCTTCCTAAAGGTCAACTCTACCGCCTGTCCACGAGCTGGGAGGGTGGGTAGGGTGGCGGGGGAAAGTAGAGGGAAACGGCCAGGTGGGAAGAGAGCACAGGACGGGGCTGGCACAAGGGCCCAGGGGACGGGCAGAGAGGAGCTGGGAGCGGAGGGCCCCGGGGCGTCACCCCCTCCCCGTGTCCCTGGGGGCCCCTGCAGACTCACAGCCATACGGGTTGGTGCTCTTAAAGGTGACGTCGATGGGGAAGTTCCACACCAGTGCTCGCCGCACGTCCTGGCTCTTGGATGTGATCTGTGAGATGCCCTCCTCCAGACCCTGTGAGGACAGGGAACGAGACAGCTGGTGCCCGCGCTCCGAATGCCACGGCCCTCCCCTGATCTGGGCGCGCAGGCTGGGGGGCTGTTTTCCTCGCTACCTTCTGCCAACACACTAGCTTCGCACAACCGAACTCTGAGGGGCTGGAGCAGCTCCTAGGCCTCTCCAGGTCTCGTCTCATTAGAGCTGGCTGGCCTCAAGAGCCGGCCCGGGCACGGGTTCTCGTCCCCTCGCCCGAGGAAGCGGCTCCGCAGGTCGTTTCCCGCTTGTCCCTGATTCCCCCGGAACCTGCTGCATCCGGGCACGCGATCTTCTCTCCCAGGGAACAACGCTGATGATGTCGTCCTCGGCCCACCAACCCGTTCGTAGCTCCCCTGCCGAACAAAACTCCGGGAACAAGCTGACCGTACTCACGGGCTCCCATTCCTTCTCTGCTTTCCTTTCGAGAATGCACTTCGGTCTGACTATAGGCTCCCACTCTACCAAAGTGTTTTTGGCGAGTAGCACCAGTGACCCCGGCGTTGCTGGACCTGTGGACATTTCTCTGTCCTCAGTTTACCTGACTCAGCAGCAGCACTGGACACACTCCCCCTGCCTGGTTTCTGGGACACCATGTCTTGGGGTCTTTCCTCCTCACGGGGGGCTCCCAGTGTTGCCCTCCTCTTCATGTGGGAGCATCTCGGGGCTGCCCACGTGATCTCTGTGTGGCTGATTCCCAAACCCGTGTCCCCTGTCCCCAGCCTGGTCCTCACCTCTGACCTCCAGAGGACAGTGGCCCCGCCTCCGCTGGTGACCCTGCACCTCCACCCGGATATCTAGCAGGAACCTCAACCTCAACCCACGCCAGGCGGAGCTCTGGAAAGTTCTCCCAGATCTGCTCTACCCAGTCTTCTCATCGAATGGCAGCTCTGCTCCCAAGTGCCCGGGCTAAGAAGACTGGTGTTATTCTTAACTCCTCTCTCTCCTGCCCCACATCTGTCCAAGAGGAAACCGCGTGGCCTCCGCCTTCAAAATATACTGGAAATGCCAGTGCCTGCCACCAGCCCCAGGGCCGCGCCTTGTCTCCGTGCTGTCTTCGTTCCTCTGTTTTGGTAACAGTCCGTGGTCCCTCTTCGGCCCCTGCTCCCCCATCTACTCTGGACACAGAAGTCAGAGGGAGCTATGAAAAATACAAGGTGGGTCACTGTCTCCGTTCCAGACCCTCTGAAGGGGTACCATGTCACCCTGCGTGAGGCTGAGGTCCTTGCTCTGACTGACCGTGTCGTCCACGGCCTGCCTCATCTTCGCCACCACCCCCCGCCCAGCTTCAGCCCCAGCCACGCTCCTACCAGCTCACGCTCTTCACTGGCCACACCGCCTCCCCCCTGCTCCTCAAGCACGCCTGGCACACTCCCGCCTCAGGGCCCGGGCACCTCTCCTCCTTCTGCCTGCAAAGCTCTTTCCACAGACTTCCACTCGGCTCTTTCCCTCACTTCCTTCAGCTCTTGACCCAAAGTTACCTTCTCAGGGAGGCCTTCCCTGGCCCCCTTACCTAGATTCCAGCTTCTCTCTATCCTCCACACCTCCCTTCCTGACTCTCCTTTCTCCTCGGCACTTTTTACTAGAACACACTGGAACATTAGTACTTATTGTCTGTCTCACCCCACAGGGATGTGCACTCCACGAAGACTGGGACTCTCGTCTGGCTGTCTGGTGGAGACAGATCGCTCTGAGGCAAGTCTTGCAAGGAGAGCTTCTATTCTGCCTTCTGATTCCCCAGAGTCTGCCCCACGGGCTAGGGGAGGGACAGAGGGCCCGGCTACTTCCAGGCTGCCCACGCACTCCTCTTTGCTGCCATGTGCAAGTTCCCGGGGCAGGGAATGTGAGCGAGCGCGGCTTTGATCGGGGCTGCATTCCCCACTCCAGCTTTACCAGGAACAAAGTCATGCTTGGAACCCCCTGAACTCATGTCTACCTCTCCATGGGTTCTGTACTGGGAGGGGAAGGGGTATGGTGGACACCTTCAGGACCCCCATCAGTCATGGAGGCTGTGAGTAAGGGAGGCCCGAGAGCCCAGCTTACCGCCGTGGGGGCCCAGTCCTGGCCATACACAAAGCAGTACTTGCAGTAGAGATCATCATACTCTGGAAACTGTGGGAAGAAGCACACACAGCTTCTGTTCATGGGGACCCGTGGTGAGGCCAACGCGTTGGCTAGGTAAGGGCAACCGATAGGAATTCTAAACACCAGGCACCTGGGGCAAGGTCTAAGACACAGCCAGGGATGAGGACATGGGGTGCAGCAGAGGGGCTGGGGCCCGAAATGTGGGAGTCCAAAGCAGAGTCCCAGGCTGCTACCACCCTTGAGCCTTTGCCCAGGCTCTGGCTTCTGTCTGGCATGCCCTTCCCATTCCGCCATCTGGCAAACTCCTATTTGTCCTTCAAAACTTACCTTCCAGGGAGCCTGCCCTAATTTCCAGGATGTTTTAAGCATCCCCCCGGCCCCGCCGCAACCCCCATCCTGGCTCTGTCAGCCTCTGGTCCTTCTCTCCATCAAAGCTTTGATGGCTTGTTCATCTCTGTCAACCCCATTTGACTGTGAACAGGGAACAAGTGTGATGACGTTTTGGGTCCCCAGTGCCTGGCACAAGGGTGGGCACAGAGGAGATCCAAGGGAATGGTGCCAAAGTGAAAGGATGCTCTCAGGACATAAAGCCTACACAGGGCTGGAGCTCAAGGCCTGGAGAGAGGGCGGAAACCAGAACTCAGTGGGAGGCACAGCGGGGCTGGCATGGGTGCTGACAATGCAGAGAGACGTGATCCAGCCCAGCCAAGGGCCCCTAATGACACAGGAGAGGGGAAGGCAGTCGAGGACACTAGGCCAAGCGGCAGGTGGACAGGGTGGGAGTATGGGGATATAATCCCGATGAAACAGGAAGGCAAGCGAGACCCAGAGCTTTACCCAAACCATCTCACTGAATCCTCACAATAATAATAATAAACACCATCTTCCAACAGCCTGGAAGGGTAATGCAGCAAAGTTTTGGCGGCAGGCAGACCTGGGTTCAAATCTCAGCTTTGCCACTCCCTTTGGGCAAGTGTTCCCATCTGTAAAATGGGGATGCTGGTAACACCCACTTCACAGGGTTGTTGTGAGGGCCGAATGGTCAGTGCTGGGCGCCACGTCTGGCACAGAGCGAATTCATGGTGAACATATCTATGTATATATATAAATACGACAAATGGTTCTTATAAAGTGTACGAGATGGAGAGTAGCGTCCCCTTCTGTCAGACTGGACAGACCCTCCCTGGATCTTTCCATCACCACCATCGTTGCATCAGATTCACCAGATCACCTCCGTTCTGGCCCAAATTCTAGGATCTGAGGGTTCAGAGTGCAGAGCACCTGAGGACCGAGGCCCCCCGTCCCGGTCGAGCCTCGGCTCCTCCCTACACCCGCGTTAGGCTCCTGCCCGTGACTCAACCAACTGGACACAATCCGAACCCGGGCTCACAGGCTTGGCCGAGCGCGTCCCCGGCACGAGCTCAACCTCTCGAGGCCTGTTTCCACCCGCGCATACTGGGGCACAGGCAAGCCTCTCAAATGCGGGTTCCCCTCCCCCCGCCTAACCGAGGGACACAGAGGCTCGGAGGAACCACGCGTGTCTCCGGGGCCACCCCGGAGGTCGCGGGGATGGGTCCCCGGGGAGACTGAGGGCAGGGCGGGCGAGGTCCACGGCCGCTCACCTGGGCGCTCTCCACCTGCCCGTTGACCATGAGTAGGAAGACGCTGGGACCCGCGGCCGCCATGGCTAGGCTGGGGGCGCCCGGAAACGACCCAGGCTGCGCGCGGGGTTGCTAAGAGGCGCCGGGTTTCCCTGGAAACCGACGGCGTGGCGCGTGGGACACGTTTCTTGGGACGCGAGCTTCGCTGAGGCAAGTGCGTGTGAGCGGCAGTGCGCAGGCGCAGCCGGCGACGGCGGCTGGGGGGCGGGGCTTTGGGGGGCGGGGCTCCGCAGCCCTACCCCTCTCCAGAGAAGCCGGGGGCCGGAGCGGGGGCCTGTTGTGCGGAATCTCGCCGCGCCGCCCGATCCGGTCACACCCGCGGGGAGTGTGTGTCCGTTCGGCCTCTGCCCCGCCCGCCCCGAAGCGCGGAGGCGCTCCCTGACTCAGGCCGGCCGGAAGCCAAGTGATGCAGACGTCCTCCGCCACGAGATGGCGCTGTGGCGCTCCCCGGAGGACGGCGGCGGGGGCGCGCGGAGGGGGAGCCCGCGGGGCGCAGGTGACCCACCACCGCCAGTCGGAGGTTCGCGCGCGAAGGCCTCGGGTCAGACCGCCCGGGTTCTGGAGAGTCCCCAGCTGGGGCCCAGCAGCTGCCTGCGTCAGGTCAGGGGGATGCCCCCCCCAAAATGTTTATTAAACAAACTTGGGAGGGACCCCAAAAAACCTTTAGTCCAAGCCACGGCTCTTTAATGTGAAGGGGGGAGACAGGCCCACAAGCCGTCGGAAGAAGAGTGAGCCAGAATCCACAGCTCTGCCAGGAAACTGTTCAAATAAGTCACTCCCCGGCCGCCCGGAGTAGGTCATAGCTTCTGTTAACACGTCGATCCTGTTCCTCTTAGCGCTCATCATGGTTTGTATTTGCACATTTATTACTGTCATGACTCGGGCTGATGCTTGCCTCCCCTTCCCTAGACAGCCGGCCTGTTCCATGAGCCCAGGGGCCACGCTGATCTTGTGTTCTGGTTGCCTGGCACATTGGAAGCCCTGGGAACAGTGTTGGATGAATGAATGATTGAATACCTCGCCATTACTCAAAGAGGAAGCCGATTCAGAGAGGGGAGGTGGCTGGGCTACGGTCACAGCAGCAGGTACGCAGCTGAATCAGGGTTCACATCCAGGACCTCACAGGCTAAGGAGCCTCAGTGCCTCTGTCTGGTCCCCGGCCAGGCCCAAGGGCGCTTCTTGGCCAGGGCCTCAAAAGTGGCATTAGAGACCTTCTCTCTGATCCAGGAAATGAAAGGATGCACAGGTGTGTAGACTGCCCAGAGGCCAGGCTCCCAGCGGGGACCCCCAGGTCATGACGCCCTGCAGCAGCTAGCTGCTAGCTTGGAAGCCCACCAGGGGGCTCCCTTCAGACACCTGTGCAGGAGAGGGAGGAGTCAAAGGCAGCCCGGACCCACTGACCACTCCCGGAAAGGTGAGCAGAGATTAACTGGTTAGGGGAGGGGGGGCTGTGGGCAGCCAGGGTTCACACCTCTGGTTCACACATCTGGAGGCCAGATGGGTGGGGGCCCCAGTTCAACAACACACAGAGCTCAGAGCTCGGGTGGGAGTTGTCTGCCCCTCCAGGGACTTGGTCATACTCCCTGCCCCCACCCCTCACATGCTCTTACCAGTTAAAAAGCTTTCTCCCACAAATTTTACCATACTCTTTCCTCCTTGTGGCTTTTGAGGCTCAGTAGTACCCAAAAGTCAGTTGTCAACAAAATGCTTGTGATCATCAAATAACCAGGAGCTTCCAGTAGTTTAAAACCCGGCTATGTCAGGGGCGCCTGGGTGGCTCAGTTGGGTAAGTGCCTTCGGCTCAGGTCATGATCTTGGGGTGCTGGGATCGAGCCCCGCATCGGGCTTCCTGCTCAGAAGGGAGTCTCCTTCTCCCTCTCCCTCTGCACCCCACCCGGCCCGCTAACCAAGTGTGCACATTAGATGTCTGGCTGGGTGATACGGAATAGGAGGCCCTGGGTAGGGTGGGAGGACGCCGTCCCCGACACCCCCCACCCCCACCCCCCTCTACTAGGGCTCCATCCTGCCCTGCATCCTCATAGTCCTCCCAGGGAAGCGTTAAGATTGGGGATGAGACCAGGAGAGTGCCAGGGGAGGGGACCAGAGCCAGGCTGTTCCCTGGGGCTCAGGGTCTGTGGGGATTACTGCTTCTGCAGGTGCTGCCTCGCCCGGTCCAGCGCCCCCTGCTGCCCTTAACAATCCCGGGCCTCTGCTCCCATCCTACTGAAATCAGCATCAAAACCTTGGGCCCAGCAGACCTGCCACAGGAGGAAGCATTGGGGCCGGGAGCGGCTCCACCACACGGGACATGCTCTCGCAAGTGTCCGGCACCAGTCGGTCTGGGCCCAGGGTCACTCTGAAGTGGGACGGCGGCCAGTTATAGAGCGCAGCAGGTGGTGAGTCTGGGGGCCTCCCTGCTGGAGCCCCTCTCCACCACCCTCCCGAGCCCCCGCACCCACCTGCCAAAGCAGCTGGTGCCTGTGAGCACCCACTCTCGGGAGATGAGGACCCCCTCGCACTAGTGCTGGGTGTCCAGGAAGATGCTTGCCTGCCAAGACCACGAGGCTGGGCCCTTCTTGCTGGGTCCCACACCTCAGGAGAACGAGCCTCACAGCTCTGCTCTGGGGCCCCAGACGTGTAGCCTTCCTCTCTTTCCTATCTGGTGCCCCATCTTTCATCCAGGACCCTGCTAAGCTCTGCAGCCCCAGCTTCTACCTCTCACCCCTCCAGCTTGAAGTCAGACTCCCTGCAATGTAATCCTGTGTGACTTGGAGAAAGCTACTTAACCTCTCAGAGCCTGTTTCCTGGCTACACCCAGGGGGTCGTCATCGGGATTAGATGTGATAATGTAGGTCAAATACTTAGTCTGCAGCTTGATACATTTTTAAGTCTTCTTATTAAAAGCAGTTCTTGGAATACGCATGCCTTTTCATGGCTCTTCCCTCTGTCCAGCACATCAGCTCCTCCCTGCCCACCCAGAGAACTCCTATTCAGCCTTCAAAGCCCACCTCTGTGGAGTTTTCTCTGAACTCCTCTCTCCAGCCCCTCCCCATCTTACTCCCGGGAAGATTTCCTCACCTGGTTGTAGGTGGGGTATCCAGCTCTGCTTGCTTTTCTCTCAACACAGGGAACTCACTCATGACGAAGGCAGCTGGGTCTGATTTAGGTGCCCTACCTGTCCATCTGGTCCCACCCTCAGGATCTTCAGAGGTCGGGCCCCATTCACATGGAGCTCCTCCCTGCAAGCTAGATGCCCCACCCCCACCCCCACACACTACCTGTCACCATCTCTGTCACGCACCTAAGTTCCTGCTACTCAAACCCAAGTCTGGGTTGCCAGTTTTGTGGGTTTTTTTTTTTAAGATTTTATTTATTTGTCAGAGAGCACGAGAGTTAACAGCACAAGTAGGGGGAGCGGGAGAGGGAGAAGCAGGCTACCCCGCCAAGCAAGGAGCCCGATGTGGGACTCCATCCCAGGACCCTGGGATCATGACCTGAGCTGAAGGCAGCCGCTTAACTGACTGAGCCACCCAGGTGCCCCTAAAGTAACTATTTTTAAGTTACAATTCAGTGCACCCTGGTGTCTTTCCACATGCTGTTCCTTCATGCTGGGGAATATCCCTTCCACCTTTGCTGCCTGAAAGCTTCTTACTGAACAACCTCAAGGTCCAGATAAATGTCCCCTCCTTCAGCCTGCCTTTTTTCTGTGCCCCACCCCATGTTCGTCCAGGGGCTTTCCCTGGACCCCTCAGCCCCTCAGTCACAGCCCCACCACGAAGAGGCTGTGGTCTGACTTGGTCTGGACCCCACTGACAACTCTGTGAGTGCCCATGGAAGGAGGGCACATTGGAGCCCTTGTCGAACGAGCGAGTGAATGAGTGGAGGTCTTTGGGGGACACTTTGGGGGGGCAGGGCTTGAGCCTTAAGGGCCAGGACTGAGCCCTCAGGTTCCAGCCAGAGAGAGGGTGTAGATTCAAGTTGGTGGGGGCGGGGGTGTGGGGAAGACTCAGGGATCCCAGCCTCCAGCAGCACGATAGAATAATCAGGTCTGGGTCTCAGGCAGAGCCTAGCATAGGGCGTAGGGCCCTCAGTTTCCATCTCCAGCCTGTCTCCCATTTTCAGTGTGACCATGGGTAAGTCATTGCCCTACTCTGGGCCTCAGTATCTGCATTAGTAAGAGAAGGGCAATGCCTGGACTATCTCATTCTCCTGTTGAGGCCGTTGAAAGGCTGGGGGAATCCCTGGCCTCTCCAAACCTGGCCTAGGGACCGGGCATGCTGTCTTAAGCCCTGAAGTTGAAGGGAGGAAGCAGCTCGAGTGGCTTCTTCCAGGAGTTGTCCAGTAGGGGGAGCTGTAGAGAAGTGAGTCAGATAGCACCGGGTTCTAATCCAGACTCTGCCCCTGTCCAAGCTGTGAGCTTGGACTGCTTTGCCTCAGGCAATTGTTGAGGATGGGGGTGGTGTGTAGAATACTGAATAACTCTTGTAGGAGGGCGCAAACCCATGCCATCAGATGCCCAATTGATCAAAACATGCCCAACCAACCTGCCTGGACACCTGCTGATGGGCCGGACAGCTTCGTGCCCACAGGATACCAGCCCCAGTTATAGGCATTTGGATCCACAGTCGCCTGAAATCCTGCTACTTTAAAGACACCTGGAGGCACGCCTGGGTGGCTCAGTCAGTTAAGCATCTGCCTCCGGCTCAGGTCATGATCCTGGGGTCCTGGGATCAAGCCCTGTGTCGGGCTCCCTGTTCAGCAAGGAGTCTGCTTCTCCCTCTCTCTCTCTCTCTCTCTCTCAAATAAATAGATAAATCTTGAAAAGAAAAAAATAAAAGACACCTGGAAAATTTTGTCATGTCTGGTGAATTGTCAGGTGACACTATGTCGGTCAAAGAAAGCCCGTTGGAGGCTGGTGACGTTTAATGCCTCGTCTTTGGGCATCGCTGTGGCATACGTGTGCCCTGACTAGCTTGTGGGAGGGGCGCAGGTGCTGGTTGCCCTTCGTGGGTCTGGGCACCACTCCTTCCCTGCATCCCCACCCTCCCCGGAGCTCCAGCCCAGAGGGAGCCAGGCGGGGAAGGGAAGGGAAGGGAGAGAAGAGCCAGGAGACGGTGGGAGAGGCTCCCTGGCAAGAGAAACTGCTGAGAAC